ACGGCTCTGTCTACGTCAAATTACAGAGCCCAAAAACGCTAGTAAAAAATGTTGAAAATATTTAATCACTTTCTTACTATGTACACGCTGCTCGTTGTACGAAAGATATTGAATCTTACACACAAGCACGATGGTGTAGGACAGGTCTCTTCCGTGCTTGCGTTTGCGAGCATTAAATGTTCTTATATAATCTCTACGCTTCGTCACTGTATCTTGCCTCTCTCAGTTGGTGCTTCGTGTACCGTTTGACACAGCGTAGAATCAATAATGTTTAATGTAAAAATAAGGGTATGTTCTTTTTCTCGATATTACAAACAAAGCTCTTATAAATTTAATGTAAAATAGAATTGTTAGAACAAATTTGAAAGTATATCAATGTATACCATTTGAATGTATATCAAATGTATGTGTCAATGGTCACGTTAATATGTTCTGTAAAAGAAGCACATAGACTTTTTTCAGAATTGTCATCGACAATATAATCTTTTGAGCAGAGAATCAACAATATATACCAATGATAAGTTAAATATGTGCGACTTTATGTATAACAACAGGGAACTTTCGTTTGGCGCTGGTGTTTGTCTATCATTCTATGAGCTTCGACATAAACACACAGTTGCCAACTCTCTTACTTTACAATAAATTATTTTACTCAGTTCTTCAGAATTAAAAAAGTTCACTTTTCAAGTCTATAGATGAATTAAGTTTAGAAGAGTAACGTGCTCATGCCACCCATTTCACTTTGCTCCTTCACAAAGATCTCGAAGTATTGGTATATGATTGTGACAGCAAGCAAGATACCGGTACCAGAACCAATCGCGCCCAAGAAGTCTGCTAATACGGAGAGAGCTCCGATACACAGTCCACCGAATGCCGCGGCAGTAGGGATGTATCGATTTAATTCGCGAATCATGGAATTATCTCTATGGCCTCGCATTACCATCTGCTGTTCTCTCAGTTGTTTAGCAACCTAAAAATTCAAGGATGCATATCATAAATTTTTATATAGGATCGAAAAGCTTTACATCATCTTTTAATGAAAGTCATCTTATACTGACGTCTTTTGCCGAGCTGCCGGAGACCTCAATCCACGTCTTGGAGAAGAAAGCACATGAACCAAGCATGAACAGAATGTAGAGCACTGCATGAACAGGATCTTGAACAATATGGCCGACTGATTCAGGAGGTGATAAGTAATAACATAATCCGCCAACTGGATACGATCTGGCGGGTCCTCCGCCACCGACGTCCGACCAAACGCCTAACAGATTCACTATAAGATTTCCTTGGAACTTGACAGCCAGCATCTGAGAAATAACATATAAGTTGGACACCAAAGCCGACTGCAGAATAATCGGAATGTTGCTGGTGTAAAACAGTTTGATTGGATAGCTGCTGTACTGGCCGCGGTATCTGGCGGATTTGATCGGAAGATCTACACGGAAGCCCTAAAAATAAAATAATTTTAAACATTATTAAGACTTGAGAAACGACCATATATATGAATATGATAAGAATATCATCAAAGTTAGATATTTCGAATAATATAATATATATTCTTTGTTAAATCAATTTATTTCAAATATAATTGCGTGCCAATAATTTTCAGACTTTCAATATACAAAATAATTTTATTTCTAAAGTCCAGTCTGATATTTTTTTGCTCGAAGACGTATCAGTTAAAAAGCAATTATGTAAAATAAAAATTTTATAGCTCATGCAAATGCCCTGTGATCTATGGGGAATTTACCTGGAAATAAATAACGATAGCGAACACTAGAATGGTGGCAAGAAGATTCATTAGATTTGGAAGATTTTGTCTGTAGAACGCTTCTCGAAGGGCTCGAACTTTGTCCTGTCTGGTGGCCAGCAAATGGAACAACGCAATTACAGCTCCTTCAAATTCTGTACCACGTCCTATTAAATGTACAAAAATGATTTTAGTTGATATAGATTGATTTAGAGAAAATAGATTATCAAGAATAATAGTAAATATATATCATGTGATTTTTTTCTAATAATGAGGAAGTTACCGGTATTAACTGTGGCTGGCGAGAATGCTTTCCAGACAATAGTCTCGCAAATATTGGTGGCAATAAAGAGAGATATTCCACTTCCCAATCCATATCCTTTCTGGAGAAGCTCGTCCAATAATAATACAATAAGTCCAGCGACGAACAATTGGATGATAATCAGGAGACAGACACCAGCTCCAATTTCAGTCGGATCTCCATACATTCCGGTCATTACATAAACAATAGCTTGTCCAACGGTAATAACCATGCCAAACACTGCACAAAGAAAAAAACAAATGCTACTGACGCTCCATTTCCATCCATCAATGATCCATCAATGATAATACATTAAAATTTATATACTTACATTTCTGCGCGCCGTTGAATAACGCTCTATCTTTTGGTGTATCGCCGACCTCAATGATCTTTGCACCGTGAAGCAGTTGCATGATAAGACCTGAAGTAACGATTGGCGAGATGCCTAATTCCATGAGAGTTCCTCTATTCGACGCGAGTATCACACGAATCCAATAAAATGGATCCGCACTGTCTGAAGACATGATTCCAAACAATGGAATCTGAAAATAACAAGATTATGTATTTATGTTTATTTGTGACAGTATTCATACGATTTTCTACCAATTTCTTTCTGTATTATTAATTCAAACCTTAAGGTCCATGAACTCACCTGACAACATACTAAGAAGATAAATAATGTAATCGCCGTCCATAATACTTTTTCTCTGAATTGGATCTATAAAAAGATATAGAAATATCACATTATAACTCTATTTCATTATGATTAAGATAAATTAACTCTCAGAAGAGTACTCTTCAGAGGATTGTGGCTGGGTCTATAGATTTATTTTTATAGTTAAACTAGTGTATATTCTTTGTATTTAAATATATAGTATACATTTGATAATTGACAATGGGGAAGAAAATAATAAATCAATAAAAAAATTAATCAATTCTTGACTTGTACTCTATTGGATAATCAAGAGATAATCAAAAAAGGTAGGATAATCAAAAGATAAAAACTATAATATTTCAAACAGCGATACAAAAACAGCTGTTTTCAAGTTATAAATTTTTTATACTTTTGCGATTTGAAAGAGATTTATGAATGATATATGAAAAATAATGAATACATCTCACATAACTCAGTCACTGACAGCCAGTTTTAAAATACTATAAAAACATTAAAGTCCACTCTGTTATTATATAAAGCAGCCTATCATAAGATTGTAAGGCATAAAACTTAAGCTTTGAGCCTTAAGCCATAAGAAATAACATTCAATCACAGTAAAGTATGAGGAGAATGATCAGTTATGATTAATTTTTTACACCTTAAAATCTCATTATAGATGCCACTTAAGTGTAATTATAAATAATTGCCGTTGTAAGAATTGACAACAGTTGAATATTCTTAAATTCGACCGTGATTGATCGTCAATTCTTACTATAATCATTTACATGTTACACTTATGCAATTATAGAATAGGTTTGAGAAAGTTAACAGTAAAGTATATAAATTTATCAGGAAAAAAATATCAAGAAAAGTTATAGCTTCAAGGAATACAATTCTACATTGTTATCACATGTATATAGATGTGTGTAAACAGATGGTAAAGAATAATTCATCTCGTCCTATACTTGCATACGCCCGGGACAATTAAGGAATTTAGGAAAAACGGTACACGAAACTGTAAATACAAGAGAGAGACAGAAATAGATCGTACATTGCGTAGGATTTACCTTCCGTTGCGGCTTCGCTATTTCCGGCAGTATACTGCAGAATGGCTTTATCACCTCGAGAAATTTGACTGAAAACAGAAGAGGAGAGGCGGTTTAGCGCTTCCAGGAGTGACGGGTGCGCGTATGTCAGTGTGATTCGTGTCGCCAGCAATATGTTTGTGCGAGAGGTTACGCACGACAATGAAGGAGGTTGGCGGCGAACGCGAATCCGTGATAACGACGGCTCTTATTTCTGACTGTAAGTGACAAACATACTCACATCCCATCTTGCCTGCGTTGACACGACTGTCCTAAGCACCGCAGATCGAGTGACCTTTCCTCACAGGATCCCGTGAATCGACACCGTTGCAAAGTACCCTCTCATCAAGCGCTCACGAACGCGGCCGCGTATGCAAGACTGGCAAAGCGTAGCGAGTCGTGGCTCACCCCGCCGACACGTATCAATATGCCAGTGTCACGTGACCTGATGATGTTGGCCGGCACGCTTCCGCTTGCGATTCCGCCATCCGACATCAGATGACGCCACGCGCCAGTCGATAACAGTGTGACATGTTTTATCGATAAGATAAAACATGTCACGCTGTTATCGACTAAACAATATTAATAAACCATATCGACTATGGATAAATTTTTGTGATTGAAGATGCACCGCTATTAAATCATCGGCTGTCAATGTAAATTTTATAGATATAGATGTCTATTATAATTATGTATATATTTATTTTTAATTGAACATCTTGCGCCAGTGAAATATGCTATAAGCAGGGTGCTGCATCTTTCAAGATTACGTTTGAAATACCTAGCAAATGAAAATCGATTAAAATTCAAGTCATTTTAATTTTAATTTTTTTTATCCGAATACATGTTTTAAATAATATTTTAAATAGTGAATTATACTTTTTTTTGGATTTAATTGAATTCAATTGGATTCAATTAGATTCAATTAGATGCAATTGGATTGAAAAACTACTTTTCCTATTCAAAACTTTTGAATTGAACAATATTATTCACAATGCACAGAAAAAGCTAATAATACTTTGTATTCATATTTAAAAGAAAATATTATAATAGTAACGATAAAGGTAATAATAAGAATAATAATATTTGAAAATAATTTAAAAAGTTATATCTTTCTAAATAAGTAATATTTGTCTCATGGCACTCACTGTTCACACTTTTCCGTTCTTTTCCATGTAAGATATAAGTATTTTGTATATCGATCATTAACTTACTCTCATTTGATATATATAAATACACGTAACATTTGCAAGATAGTTATTTTCTTTTTTTATTCTCGTTCTCATGTTCTTTAGTAATAACTTCGATGGTAATTAACGCGAAGTGTTATTACATATGTTTTGAACGTGGCAACGTTTTTAATGCAACTTTTCTGTATTTGTTTTGCACATGTAGAAGAGATGTAAAAAAGTAAAGAAAAGATGTAAAACAAATGTAAAAAAGAGAGTAGAAAAAGTATAGAAAATAAGTGCAAAAAAATGCACATGCAAAATAATATAAAAAAGGTGTAGGAAGTGAAAAAAGGTGTAGCAAAAAAGAATAAAATTCAGCGAAGATAACGACAACGACAACGACGATGTATCTGAATGAATAAATCAAGCTGAAAAATACTTTTAGGTATCTTATGCAACATGCATATTATCTGAGTTGTTATCTCAATTTAATTGTAAAAATCTATATTCTTTCCCAATATATTTTTTCATAATAACTATTTTGTTTGAATAAAACAATAATTTTTATTTACATAATAACCTACTTTTAATTACATAATAATTTATTTATATAAACATGCTCTCCTACCTGTAAAAGATACTCTATAACGTTTCTTTCATGACATAGTACTATCCCCTAATAATAATATAAAAATAATAATATAAAAAAGATATTTTTAATATACTCAAAACTTTAAAAATATATTTGATGGGAGATGCTACTCCTGCTTACACATTCAGACATCGAAAAATACGTAAACTTTTCTAATATAATTTATGAAACTATAATATTGTTATGATTTATAAATATTATTTCTCTTTTTTATTTACACTGACGTATTATTTAATATAACATTGATGAATTATTACACTTTTGTATGAATAATTAAAAAGTGTATTATCTTATATTAATAATAAGAATACGCAAAATTAAATATTTAAATATTACATTGTATTTGAAAATCAATATCATTTAAATAACATAAAAGATAATAAAAATATAAAACTAAACATACTAAATTGTGAAATAGAAACATCAGTAAGTACATATTTTGTAATTCAAATATTAAGATTAACAATATTTTGTATTTTGTATTTCAAATATTATAATGATGTAGTTTGCCCAATTCTGAATTCAATGCAATGACAATTATAGCATTTTTGACTAGTGCACACTCAGTGTACTTTAAGAACGTTCTCCGAAAAAAATCCATTTTCTTTAGATTTTTCTGAAACTTATAGAATAAGCTTGTTTTATTGTCCTGAATATATGTGCTTTAAAACTCAATATCCGGAGCGGAATTAAAAATCGAAATATTCCACTTCAAAGTTGAAGCGTTTAAAAAAAATACACACACACACACACACACACACACACACACACACACACACACACACACACACACACACATATATACATATACATATTACATAGGATCCCTATGTAAAGCTTATTCGAAAGTGGTCTTTTTATTCACTGTAAAAAAGTTCTTTTTAACAATTTTTTGAAACAATGAGATATAAATTTGATATTACAAGGCATAATATAAAATTTGTCTGAATATGGCTTGCGGTTCATTTTTAAGAAATCATTAAGCAAAGTAAGTAACACAGTAAGTAAAGTCGCTATTTTTTCGATCGGCGGCAGTAGCGAAGACGGGAGACATTTTATATAAAAAAACTTGTATAAACGCATCAACACTTATGGAATATCTTATACTACATAAAAGTGAAATAAATTTTCATAAAAATTTTCATAAAAATGGTGGCACTAATGTGCTCATTAGATTGAGCACAACTGCAGTCAGAGAATGTCCTTAAAGATGTACATATTAATAAATCGACATAAAGATGTACGTTTAAAAAAAATATAAAAACAAATTAAACTGCGAAATATTCAATATCTTGTACTATATAAACATTGCTTTGATAAAAACTGCTTTGATAAAATATATACATTGCTGAGCATTTTATTATTTGAAATATCTCACTTTTACGTTTAAAATAATGTTTTAATGTGCAACAGCAGTTTTAATTAACAACAGTTTTAATGTGCACTCTAGTTCTGCAAATAAAAAACGTTATCAAGAATATAATATAGATAGATGTGAGTGCAAAAAGTATTCGTACAAAGAAAATATTTTTTAAAAAACTTTTAAAAAGTAAACATTATTCAGCAAGAAATGAATTATTAAATTGATGTCGAATCAATGTCGATACGATGATTTCATCGTACATCGATTTGACATCGATTCAATATTTAATTGACGATTATTTCTTACTGGATAATTAACAATTTCATAAAGCATTATTCATAAAGCATAAAATAGACTGTATGTTTCTTAAAATTATATATACCAAAATGATGTGTATTAATTATAGAAAATATATAATTTGAAAAATAAGCGAAAATTAAAAATTGCTTGGATGATCAAAAAGTATTCGTACAGTCGAGAAATTTAGTTTCCAAAATCAGAAATGTTATATACATGCAAAATTCGATTATGTTAGAACAGAATGTATTTATTGTATATAATTGTTAGTTAATGTTTAATTTCTACAAATAAGATTTTTTTTTATAAAAATTTCCTTTTCTTTTTGCTCTCACTGTATATTCATAGATTGTTTACACAGATGACACGTAAAATATATTTCATTTACATTATTGTGAACACGTAGATGTAGATTGTCATATTTCACGCTGCATAACTCTGATTATATAAATGTTGCTGCCAACAAAATTATTTTATACACTACACAGTGGATTGCATAACAATATCATAACATAGACCCAGGAATTTTTCGTTCGTTAATTTCCATAGATATTTTACAAAAATTTAATTGCATAGTAATAAAATTCACATTCAAAAATTTTCAAAAAGAGATTAAATTAATAAATATGCTTTATAAAAAAAATTGTGTAGTTTTCTTTAATACAAAGTAGTCTACATTTAAATATTTTTAATTGCATGTCTTATTCTAACGCGTTATAACACATATGTATATATTAACAAGTAAAACTAGCAAGAGTAATACTTATTGACACGCGATTTCACGATTAAACGACCATTTAACTATAATCATATTTGGCCAGTTTTAAACTTATTTTTAATGTATATTTCAAAAAAATTGTTCAGAATGATAAATATTTTTGCAACTTATATTTTTTTCAAGAACTTTAACTTGCATTTTGACTTTAGCTATGGCACTTTGATCTACGAATTTCAATCAATCTGTATATAACACACCGTATATAACACACTTAAATTTTTATACAAAATATAAATTACGTAATTTTCTATCTTGTTTCCTTTTCAGAATTTGCTTGATTGAACATCCATACATATCGGTCAGAGGCTTATATTTTATGCAGAGAAACGGCCTGTATAACAAATGACTTGTTACAAAAGATAAATTTATCACTTTCATTGTCTTGCTTTTATTTACATACACTCTTATATTTACGAATGTGTGCCTTCTTCAATATGTGACTTCTTCAAAATATTTAATAGATCATTAATTATTATCGAATACTTTTCATAATTCTTTCTAATTAAATCTAACTTTCATATTTTACGGATTGTTCTTGATAATATCAAATATGTTTTATAAAAAATTTTCAATTTGCTATAAATCAAGAAAAAAATATATATCAAATATTCTTTAATGCATCTAATATATCCATTAATATATCTATTAATTTGTAAGTCTAATGCACCTAATTTTTATGCGTATATATGTTTAGTAATGTCTTGAATAATTTATTAATAATTTTTATTAACGCATTTATACATACACCTATCAGGAATATTAGAAATACTCTTGAAAATACAAAAACATTTCAAACATTTCTACCATGAAAAAGATTCAGCAACCTAATAAAGTAAAAATCAGGATTGGTAAAGACTAATGTTTTTTTTTAAGAATAAAATGTATTGTGTTTTTTCTTAAATATGTTTTTAATGCTTCAAATATGCTTTAAATAGTACTATAAAAAAAACATATTTAAAACATATTAAAAATATCAATTAAGCATGTTTTAAAACATGTTTTTTTACCAGCCCTGCTAAAAATATTTTCTGTACAATAATATTTATATAATATTTAAAAAGATCTGTTCTCACTTCGTGATATATAACATATTTTCGTGAAAGTTTGTACAATATATCTTCACCGTGACAAATTATAATTAA